CAATGTAGCTTGCATATCACCAGTGTGTGAATGTGTGCGTGAATGGGTGGATGACTGGATATGTAAAGCGCTTTGGGGTCCTTAGGGACTAGTAAAGCACTATATAAATACAGGCCATTTACCAGGCCAGGCCATCATATCCCCTCATGGTATATGTCAAGAACGGAGTGCAGGTCCTGAGATTATTATTATTATTATTTTTTAATATCGGTTGTTCACCTTAACTCTGGGGTACACCCAGAACCTATAGGAGAAATTATATTTTCTGTATGGGAATACTTTGGGGTACGGGATCCCTCAGGAGTAACTGAGGGATCTCAAAGTGTCGAGTCTCACTGAGTGAGAGGATGTCTGGTTAGCCTGCTGCCACTGTAACATGACTTCATATAAGCAAAAGAGGATGGATGGATGTTAAAAAATATATAGTTCAATCCATTGTGTTTATTGGAGACCGGACTCTTGTCCTGGTGAAGGATCATTCAACACATCATAAATAAATATATCTCAAAGGCAAAGTAAGCGTAACTGTGCTGTCATGTAACATCCAAACCACGCTTTTAATATCATCTGATTGTTTTAATTAACTAAAGTTAAAGGAGCCCAAAAGACTATTGACACTTTTAATAATAATAACACCCTTTGTCAGACTGACATATTTGGCTCATTGGGGTTATTGAAAAAGAATCCACAAGTAAACTTGTCAGAGTTTTAGCCTCTTTAGACTTCTTAACTTCTTCATCCACCACAGAAGTAGATGAACCTGTAACAGAAATCTCGACGCAGTCTCTGATAATAAAAAAAAAAGTAGCAACTTTTCTAAGTCTAGTTGAAAATCTACTTTTTGGAAGTGCTGAAACTGCTATACTGATAGCAACCTTTGGACCTGAGGGGTAGAAACTTTTCGAGTTGACGTAAAGCATCGGAAGATAAGGTTACAGTTAAAAATTTGACTGGTCTGGAGATGCTTATCCTTTGCTCAACAGAGATACAATAAAAGTGTTTGGCTTATCTGTGCCTCTTTGTGTGGATATCTATTGAATGCAGCCGGATAAACACCACGAGTATACTTAAACAGAAAGTTTTAGTGTCCAGCTCTTTTTCTGTGCACATGCTGCGCTTGCCCTCTAAATATTCTAGTACGGACATGCCATGAATTGACATTTAGCTCAAGCACTTTCCCTAAAAACTTTTCTTCCCTCGGGTTTTTCACTTGTCTGTACTTTTGTCCTTCTGCATTCTCTCGTCCTCAAAACACTTTGCCAGAGCGTTGTTGTTTACCTCTTCAGCATTTCTTCCTCAGTTCCTGCTCCCTCCTCTAACCTCTTGTTAGCGCTCTCTTTCTCTGATACCTGGCTGTCGATGTTGCTCTCGTCCCGCTCGTTCGCAATCGGTGCCCTCTTTTTCTCACCCCAAAGGTCCCCTTCATGCCTCTTGTTTTCAATAACCTCTCCCACTTCTACCTTGGTTTTACTCACCTTTTCCCTGATTCTATCATTCTTTCCTTTAAATCTTTCTCTTCCTCCACCACCCACCTTTTATCTGTCCAACACACAAACACACACACACAGATTCACAGACACATTGTGTGAACCTCTTGTCTGTCGATGAGTCCCTGAGGTTTTTCCTTGTGTTTGTCTCTGTATGTAGTCTGGCCAAGTGCGCTTCTCTGCAGAAAGACAAGAGATCAAAAGTATTGACAGTGTCTTAAATCGTGACAAGTTTTGGTAATTAGCACATTTTTCACTGGGGACATTTGCAAGAGCAAACCAATACTAAACTTTCCTCCCCTTGTTTTTATATAATTTTCTATTTTTTTTTTCTTTTCATTCAGCATATTGCCTTTTTCATAGTTTATAGCTGTTTTATAGTTTTAACCATACTCTTATTCAAGTATTTTTTATGCTTATCCCTGTTTTGGATTGAAATTAAATTTATATTAATTTCTTTTCTTTCCCTAACTCATTTTCTCTCTCTGTCCATCTACTTGCAGTTGAAGAGAGTAGTCTGGTAGTGCAGGCCTTAAGACTGAACACAATGTCCAAGCTGACCTTTGCCGATTGCTCTCGGTTTGATGCTCTGGTGAGAGATGTCTTCTCTGGGGTTGATTTCACTGACGTGGAGGACCAGATACTAACACATGCACTGGAACAAGTTTATAAGGAGGCACAGCTTGAACTTATACCCAGCCAGGTGTGTATATGAAGAATTCTAATAAACACTATGTGAACTGACGTTGTTTGTTAGAAAGATGGTATAAGAAAATCAGAGATAGTTAAATGGAGTAATTGTTGTCATTTATAGCTAAAGAAGGCATTGGAGCTAAATGAACAGCTAAGACAACGTATGGGCGTAGTTGTTGTCGGGCCAAGCGGAGCAGGCAAGTCCACACTGTGGAGGATGCTCAGGGCGGCTCTCGGCAAGACAGGAAAAGTGGTGAGTAGAGGGAGAACCTCCCCTCTTGAATTTAATGCTGTAACTGGAAAAAGTGATGTAATACAAGTCCTCTAAAATTACATTATGCACTGTCTGAGTTCCAGTGTTATTTAGCATATAAAAGAATCTAAAAAGTGACATTTTCAAAATTAAAGAAATTCTGCCTTGAGTTCTTGCCAATTCACTTTTTTTGTTTGGTAGGTGAAGCAGTACACAATGAATCCTAAGGCCATGCCCAGACAACAGTTGTTGGGACATATAGACATGGACACCAGAGAGTGGTCTGATGGCGTCCTCACCCACAGTGCCAGGAACGTGGTCAAAGAATCTCAGGGTAATAAGAGAGGGACACTGCTGGTTTGTGATTAACCAGACGTTTGACATTGAAACTGGAAAAGTGTTTGGCCATCACCAGAATCATCCAATTTCAAAGTGCTTTAATTCTGCAATGTTAAGCACTTGTGAACAAGTTTTGTATGTAAAACTTTTGAAATCAGATGATTCTTTCAGACACACCCCGTATCGTGATTAATATCCTGTATGCATGCGTTGTAAACATATGCATGTATATTTGTGTTTTCTAGAGGTGAACTCTTGGATCGTATGTGATGGCGACATTGATCCTGAGTGGATTGAGAGTCTGAATTCTGTCCTTGATGATAATCGACTGTTAACCATGCCCAGTGGCGAACGCATCCAGTTTGGACCTAATGTTAACTTCCTGTTTGAGACTCATGACCTCAGCTGTGCCTCACCAGCTACCATATCCCGCATGGGCATGATCTTTCTCAGGTCAGTCAGCCTATGCAGAAAGAGTTTTAAGCATTTATTTCTACCAAATTCCACCTTTTGAGTACTTGTCTCACTGGCATTTTACTTCCTCATATCTAAAGTGATGAGGACATTGATGTGGGTGCCTTGGTGAAGTCGTGGTTAAAGGGTCAGCCAGAAGAGTGTCACAATAATCTTGAAAACTGGCTGGGCGATTACTTCCAAAGATCTCTGGACTGGGTCCTCAAGCAGGTCAGCGTCCCACTGCTACACAGTGCATGAAAAGCAGTCACATCTTTTCATTGTTCTAAATATTAAACACATCTTTTGTTTGGAACCTGACACAGTGGTGTCATCAGTGCGTATGCACTGAGCAACTTAGAACCTTGATCAGTTAACTTCATTTATAATTACCAGTATTTATTATGATATATTTAATTGGTAACATTATGAAAGTGCAATCAAGTAACTGAAATGACTTGTAACCTTTCAGCTCAATGAACAGATCCATTTATTATTTCCTTCTAATTTACATAATCCTTACAGACTGGATTTTTCTTTTGCTCAACCGGTTTATTTGAAAATCGTAAAAGATCTTTGATCCTTACATCTGTATGCTGTTCTTTCTCTCTCCTCATTAGAATGACTTTGTGGTGGAAACTAGTTTAGTGGGCACAGTGTTCAATTGCCTGTCTCACCTCAATGCTGTGAAGGAGAGGGGCCAGTTCATCGTTGGTCTACTGAGAGGTATGGGAGGAAACCTCAACCTCAAAACACGACAGGAGTTTGCCAAAGAGGTGAGGACCTCATTTTTTTCTCGTTTGGTATCAATAGAGGTTGAGTTCAAGAACAGTTTTATGTTTGGATTTAAATTGTATTCATGTCTTAATTATAACTGCTGAAAATTATAAAGATGGATAACTTGCTAATGTTTGTCTTTATGTCTTTTCACTCCTGTAGTTGCTGAGCTGGGCCAGGGAAAGCCCACCAGACCCCAGAAAACCATTGGATACTTACTATAACACTGACAGTGGTCATCTAGCAAGTTACATGTTCCAGCGTCCTGAGGGTCTCACGCTGGAGCAGTTCTCTCATACACACATGCTACCTGTGATTGAGACTCCAGGCATGCAGAGAGGTCTGCAGGGTTTCTCTCCTTGGCTCACCACACAGCACAGGCAGCCCTTCATGGTCGTAGGGCCAGAGGGTTGTGGAAAGGGGTAATTACTTCTGGATCCATATACAAAAACACATTAAAAACCATTTAGCCCTTCACAAAGCCATGATTGCTGAACAACTGTTACATTACCTTCCATTATCCTGACTTAAGATCAAATGGCATTCTGCGGAAGCAATTCACAAAGGGTATTTTTTTATTCTATCCTCATGTTAGCCTTTAGTACAAAAATCACTGGTGAGGTCAGAGTGTGCAGTGTGGTTTGTGAGACAGAGGCACTCAAATAGGAATACTCAGAATGACACAATCACATAATCAACAGTGAAATCAAAGCTGCTTTTATTCAAGACTTGACCTTTCTTGTAAAGGCACTGAAAGCTCAGAATAAAGATCAAATCTTTGGGTGTGTGTGTGCGTGCTGTTTGTGCTTGGGATTGTGTACGTGTACACATCAAGTTCTGAACTGCCCCACAAGTAATTGTGTCCCTCCCCTGGGTATAAAAGAGCAAGGGTCCCTCAGTTTGCCTTTTACACTCCACTTTTGTATCTCTCAGTCTTTTCTTTTCTCATCCTCATGCCCTGCCTCACTTGGTCTGAAACATTACGGTGCCAGTAAGGCACGGGATTTGTCAACTTAGTCTTCTGATAAAAGTACAGATTTTCTGATAATGACTGTGCATGCCCATGAACACGTCATATTTACTTTCTTTAATTTGCCTTTGAGTCAAAGGTAAACAATTTTCTTGACGTCCCAAAAATTTATTTTTTTGATTAATGTGGCAGTAACACAGATTTCATCCTCTTATCCTTTCTTGCTGTCCTTAGATCAGCTTAAAAATGGGTGAAGCTGAACTGTTTAAAACATTTAAGCATATGGATGAACTGTTGCCATCCTCTGCGCTCATGTCTCACCTCACGTACTTTGAGTTCTTGTGTGTTTCCTGACCTTATTCTGTTCGTCCTGTTCAGCATGCTCCTGCGCTACGCCTTCTCTCGGCTGCGTTCCACCCAAGTTGCTGTGGTTCACTGCAGCGCCCAGACATCATCACGCCACGTCCTACAGAAACTGAGCCAGACGTGCCTGTTGCTCAGCTCTAACACTGGTCGAGTTTTCAGACCCAAGGACTGCGAGAACTTGGTCCTTTATTTAAAAGACATCAACCTACCCAAACCGGACAAGTGGGGGACCAGCAACCTCACTGCCTTCCTCCAGCAGGTAAAAAGACAGATAAATTAAAAAGTCAGTCAATGGCTGGATGTGTTGGAAACAGTTTTGATACAAGTGCCCACTCTCAGAAACTTAGACTGTTTCATGTCCACCACCAAGCATCACAATATATATTAACCTTTCTTTAAGGTGTTGACCTATAAGGGGTTCTATGATGAAAATCTGGAGTGGGTCAGTCTTGAGAACATACAAGTGGTGGCTTCCATGTCCACAGGGGGTGCTGTTGGGACACATTCACTCACAACCCGCTTCTCTTCTATAGTACGCATCTGCACAATAGAGTAAGTACAAAACAAGCAACATATAAGTAAATACCAGTAAAACAGCACTTTGTCATTGTTCCCATCTCTCTCCGTTTCTCTGCTTGGGCTCCTTCAAACTTGACAGTGATTCATTCTTGTTGTCCTACTGTTTACTTTCCTGACTTTAGTTATCCAGACAGGGAGCAGCTGCAGACTATCTACTCAGCTTACCTGCAGCCAGTTCTCCAGCACAGCCTGGGCAGCCAGGCAGCCTGGGCCAGCACAGGGAAAACACACCAGCTGGCTGGGTCTCTTGTGCAGCTCTATGAACAGGTATTGCATTTCACAGGGTGTTCATTCAAGTTTATAACCAGGTTTGTAAAAACACAGTTTTCCTGAGATGCAAAGAGCATAAAAAAGGCACAAAGAAATCTGAGTAATTCCAGATTAAAACAGTCTCTATGTGATGCAAAATCACACTGTCCAAGTCCTTGTATTTTCACAGATATCCATTTTTAACTAATGGGTATTAGCCAAGTTCTCTCCAGTCTTTTCAAAAGCACATTAGGTTTTCACATAATTCGTGCCGGTTTTATTACAGGTACAGGCATTACATTGTAGAGACTTGTGCATAAGATAACTTGACACTCAGAAATGTGTCCAGATGAATGCTGAGATTTTGCTTTCATGTTGTTAGAAAATATCAGTTAAAGAAATCTGTTGTGTTGTTATTCGCCTTCATAGGAGCTTCTTACTGTTTTATTGCAGCCACAAATGTCAGATATTGTCAGCAATTGTGACATTTTCAAGTTATTATGCATTTGTGTACGCACTTAGGGGGGAATGTTTGTTCTGTTGCTATTTTGATATTGCTCTTCACGCCATTGGATTATTAGGATTATAAATGCAGCGTAGTGATAAATGTGGAGATTCAGGTGCTTATTTTTAATCGTGTCATCTTTTTGCATATCTAGTTTGCGGTAGATAGAAATGTGTAATGAAAATAGGTTTTATCTGTATCCTATAGATATTTACTCACAGCCACTTTATTAAGTCAAAGTCAAAAAAGTTTGTTTATATAGCACAATTAAAAGACTAGTGTACATCAAAGTGCTTCACAATAAAACCGCAATGCGGGCAGAACAAAGAACCTTATTAGGAACACAGTTTTATCAAGTGATTGTGATGTTCAAGAAACCAGTTTGAGATGATTTGAGCTTTGTGGCATGGTGCTTTATCCTGCTGGAAGCAGCCATCGGAAGACACATACATTGTGGTAATAAAGCATGTGTACAAGGTCAACAAAGAAAATATCCCCCACATCGTTACACCACTACCATTAATAGAAAAAAAAACGATGGATCTGTTCTATGTTCAAAATCAATTAAGTCATTTTTCTCCCTGTTCTGATGCTCGGTTTGAAGTTCAGTATATGCCTAAATGCATCAATTTGCTGCCATGTGGTTTTTTGTGTTAACAATCAGTTAATTAAGTTGATTAATAAACTGTCTGCTGAGTGTATAATAATATAATATATTAACCCCTTTCTGTATTTTCTTCTTTCCTGTTAGGTAAAAGCCAAGTTCACAGTGGATGACCACAGCCATTATGTGTTTACACCTTGTATTCTCACAGAATGGGTTCTCAGCCTGCTGCGGTATGACCTCACTGCAGGTAACTAAAATCAAAACAAAAATAGATCGATATAAATATGTATGTGTTTTAGAAAACAGAGTAAGATTTATGAGGTTAAGATTTTTCAAATAACACGGCCCAGCCTTCTCTAAGTTAAAAACTTAGGGGACTATTTTGAGGCACTAGACACATACAAAAGCAGAAGGTTGAATTTAATGACCCACTACTAATTTCTTAGTTTATTCATATTGCTGAGTAACATTAATAATTCCATTTTAATGCCAGAATAATACAAAAAAATACAGCCCCACAGAGTTAGTTACTCGTCTGTGTTCTTTCAGCTCAGAGCCACCGTTTCTGTCTCTCACCTTTTTCCTTCTTTCTGTCGGCCTCTCTCTGATTCCTCTCTTCTCTTTCCCCAGTCCCTTTCTGCCACTCGTCTGTCTCTCACTCTTTCATCATCCTCTCCCTTTGCTGTCCTTTCATCTCTCCTTCTGTCACTCTTTCTCTCCTTCTGCAATGTGTTCCTGCTGTGATAGTGAGTCCAATCATTTATTTTAATTAAACACGTCAGCAGAGAAACTTCCCTTTTCCTGTCCTCATCAGTTTTTACTTTCTTTTTTTCTTTCTGAATTCTCTGCCCGGTTTGCTGCTTACCTTCTTTTTGGTATGTAAAAAAAAAAATCCTTATTCTTTATATTTCTTCTGTGGCTGCGGTGAATTTGAGCTTGAATAAAGTCCTTTAGGCAGTGTTATCTGTGCTTCCTAGTTTTATTTGATGTGTTTTAGAGGTGATGGGTTGATACTGAGACTGGATACTGTCACAGATGCTGACATATCACTTTTACAATTTCACTAAAACATCAGTGTAAAAATGCCAAAAAAAATAACATATCTTTGAGGCCATTTAAGAACATCTGTTGCCGTTATGTAGAGTATCCACAAGAGAGCACTGACAAGTTTTAGATGGATGCAGCTCGTGGAGCCCATTCTGTATATACTCAGAAATTTACAAATTATAAATTAGAATTGCTTTTTGTTTGTTTTTGTGGTCATTGCTTTTTTATTAAACAACCAATATTGTTAATTATTCATATGAACAAATATCAATATCAGTGTTTGCCTTAAAACTCCAAAATAAGCGAGGATTTATTTGCCTTACTGCTGGTGGCGGAATCATTATAAAGTAGATTTTGGAAATCAAAAGTCATGGGAATAAAAAAAAATGCAGGAAAAATTTACATTTATTTTTTTTTTTCCTGTAATGGTTTTTAGAATTTAAATTGCTAGGAAAACCCCAGACACAGAACTGTGTCTGTGTTTGTCATGTTTCAGTATTTTCAGGCACCGTCGAAACCAGTGTTCCATAGTATCACAAATCTGGCTTGTCCCTCCAGTTTTCAGCAAGTAGCACTCTGCTGTTTCGTGGGGAAATTTATTACATATGTGTGATCCAGGGAGGTGGTTTTGTCATACTGAGCATTGTCAAAAACAGCCCTTTGACTCATATTAAATCCTGAGTGTGATTACTATGAAACTAAATGCCAGGTTTAGGCAGACTAAAATTTGGATTGTATATTTAACGTATACATTTAGCTAACACCTGGTATGAGATCACCTAAATATTTAAATTATCGGGGAAGGGGGGGGGGGTCTAACAGAATGAATAAATCTTAATTTTGTGTAAATGTGTAAAGGTCTTTTTTTAACTATATTCTGTTAAGTCTTAATTCGTGTGTGTGTGTGTGTGTGTGTGTGTGTGTGTGTGTGTGTGTGTGTGTGTATCTCACTTGTTCCCTTTAGCTCAATCTAATGTGACAGACAGTGTGTTGGAGGTGGTAGCATACGAGGCCAGGAGGCTCTTCAGAGACCGACTAGTTTCCTCCAAAGACCTTCACACCTTTGATAACATCCTCTCCTCCATCATACGAGGGGACTGGAGCTCTGATGCTCTAGATAACATGACTGGTATGGGATGGCTGTGCTCTTGCTTCTAAGTCATAAGCCAAATATTAGGTCTGACCATGAAAGACTATTACTGAACGAGGCTTTTAAGCAGTTAATGTCAATATTACTGGCTGGGCATGTCTGAATGAAAGTAGTATATGATTAGAGTGCTTTTTGACAGCTCTGCATATATATTTACACGTGGCAATATCTCTGTTAATGGTCTGTTTTGAATACTAAACTAGTAATGATTTTAATTATTGATTTTTTTTCCATTTGCTTTGCTTGCTTTCAGTGTGTCAACAGAGCCAACTCTGTGCCTAGTAGTATGTCTTATTCACTCATTGATAAAGTTCTGAGATTTCTTCTGGATAATACCAGAAGGTCATCTAGTGTTGTCCATGTTGTACACAAGCTTTACTTTGGACGCTGTGATATCAAAAAGATTAGAGTAAAAGATAAACCCCGACACTTCTGTTCCCTGAAGGAGAGGAACAAGGTACAGTACAACACATAAGTATGGGATATCACCCCCTTGCGTGTCCTGGCTGAAGAAACCTTTGTTCACGCCTTTAAAGCAGATGACGTGTGATGACATGCGCAAGGCCCCGCCTATAACGGCCAACCGATAAAACTGGACAAACGTGTGCGGTGATGCCCAACTAGCTGCCGCACAAATATCAGCTACAGGCACCCCTTTAAAAGAGCCCATGAGGTCGCTATCCCCCTGGTGGAATGAGCTCTCACCCCCTGGGTACAGCACCAAAGCAAGACCTTTGGTGCTGTACGCCAGCGAGATAGCTTCTATACTCCAGTGGGACAGCCTCTGTTTAGACAGAGCTCTACCTCTAGTTGGATTAGTGAAGCAGACAAACAGCTGCTCACATAAATGCACATGCGTAGCACACGCACTGGACAAAGAGATCCAAAGCATCCTCCTCTGCTCCTCAGATGCAAAAGGAGGGGAGCAAAAGCTCAGCAACTCAAACTCCATTGAGCTATAAGATGCAGGCATGATCTTGGGAAAATAGGCAGCATTTGGACACAATACGACCTTGTGGTCATCAGGAGAGAACTGTGTGCAGGAGGGATGGACAGACAGCGAATGAAGGTCACCCACTCGCTTTGCCAAAGCCAAAGCGAGAAGTAATGCAGTCTTATATGATCCACAGACTCAATGGGTTCAAAAGGGGGGCTACAAAGGGCCTCCAGCACCAAAGACAAGTCCCAAGCAGGGACACTGGACTTAAGCACGGGTGTCAGCCGACGAACCTGTTTCAGAAAACGTATGGTGAGGGGATGTGCACCTGGTGTCACCCCGTCAAAACCAATATGACAAGCAGATATAGCTGCTAAATAAACCTTAATTGTCGAAAATAAAAGGTGTTAGCTAAACGTATACGTCTATCCAGCAGCTCCTGCAGGAATGTCAAAACATCCACAGTAGAGCACTGAAATGGGAGAGTGTGGCGGACCTGGCACTATTGCTCGAAGGCTCGCCATTTGTAAGCGTACAAGCCTCTAGTAGATGAGGCCCTAGCACTCTGAATTGTCGCTATCACACTAGGTGGCAAACCCTTAGCAATCAAGTTTAACCTATCAGCAGGTAAGCATGAAGGCACCACAGATCTGGCCGCGGATGAACCACTTCTCCTACCGCTGAGAGAGGAGATCCCTGCAGAGAGGAAACTGCCAAGGACTCGCTGCTAGCAGGCTGATTATCTCTGCATACCACGACCTTGTGGGCCACCAAGGGGCTACTAGAATCAGAGAGAGAGACTGCCGACACACTCTCTCTAGAACTGGAGATATCATTTCCACTGGGGGAAATGCATACAGGAGCACATCTGGCCATTGGTGCGCTAGTGTGTCCATGCCCAAGGGTGCATCGTGGTCGATTATGGAGAAGAACAGGGGGCAGTGAGTATTTACCCTGGAGGTAAAAAGATCTCTTTGCGCCTTGCCAAATAGATCCCAAATCTGAGCCACTATTAAAGGGTGTAACCTCCATTCTATCACCAGAGAGAATGGAGGACCCCCCCCATGGAGAGAAGGTCTGGCCCCAGGTTCAGGTGGCCCTTAGAGACACAGCTCTAAGTGGTTGATGTGCAGCTCGTGCTGGGCTGCAGACCAGATCCCTCTCACTGATGCACCCTCACACAGCTCTCCACACCCTCTTAGGGAAGCATCTGAGGACACCATTTTGCAAAACAACACCCTCCCAATCCAAGAACCCTGATGCAGCAGCCTGGGCTCCCTCCAAGGACGGAGAGCTAGCATGCAAGATGTGGTTACCGTCAGCCTCCTCCGGAGGTGACGCAATACAAACAGGCGGCGAGAGAGAGTCCAGTGTTGAAACGCTCTCATCTTTAACTGTCCAAGTGGCACTATGGCGATCATAGATGACATCATGCCCAACAAATGTAATATCGTCTGGAAACGCAGTCTGTGTCCCAGCTGAAACTGAGCGAGGCAGCGATTAAACCAGCCACTCTGTTCTCAGACAAACATGCTGGAAAGTGAGCATATTTCCAAACCGAGGAAAGAAATCAGCTGACTCGGGATTAGCGAGCTCTTTTGAAAGTTCACAGAGAACCCCAGTGTCTGAATGTGTGACAGAACCAGCGACAGCTGTGTCTCCGCCTGCTCTCTGGAGCAAGCTACGAGAGCCCAGTCGTCTAGGTAGGCTAAGATGAGGATTCCTCTCTCTCTCTGAGGGGCGCTAGCGTTGCCTCGGCACATTTCGTAAAGGTGCGAGGAGCGAGCGACAGTCCGAACGGCAGCACTAGGTATTCGTAGGCTATGCCCTCGAATGCAAACCTCAGAAACTGCCTGTGTTTCGGGTGTATAACCACATGAAAATAAGCATCTGTTAGATCGATTGTTGCAAACCAATCTCCCGGGCCGACTGCATTCAAGAATTGTCTGAGTGTTAGCATCTTGAACCTGTACGTCCGTAGATATGTGTTCAAGACTCGCAGGTCGAGGATGGGACGAAGCCCTCCACCTTTTTTTGGAACAACAAAATAACGGCTGTACCAGATTTTGTCTGTCTCCGAAGTGGGGACCACTCGTATTGCTCTTTTCTGCAATAGCACCTTTATTTCGTCTCTGAGTATCATGGCCGCCTCGGTGTCGACAGTCGTGTTTACGAGTCTTCGGAAATGAGACAGTTTGACCCGGAACCGGTAACCCATGGCAAAGGTTCGCAGCACCCACAGAGAGGGGGCGCAAGCGCGCCACTGAGGGGAGTGAGCAGCCAGCCGGCTGACCTGCAGCACTGACGGCGGGGCGTTGTTGCCCCTCAGTGTGTCTGCAGGGGACTGCACCACCTGCCTGACCTGGCTCATTCTGCCTGCAGGCTGAGCATTTGTGATTGTTTGAGAATAAACAACACTCTTTATTGACTGTAACATGGAAACATGTACATTCACACATTTTGTTGGATGCACCTTTTCTGGGGCACAACAATGAAAAACAGCAGGAACACTTGATGTGGTCACCTGAACATTTAACACACCTGAACAGGGAGTTACAACCTGAGGCATTTTGTGTGCAGGGGGTTTGTGCTTGGGAGAGTCAGAGTGTTAGGACATCGACTGGATAATCCTCGTCTTCAGACTCAGAAAGGAGAGGGTCATGCCGTGCGACAGCCAAGCGTCCCAGCACTTTTTCCACAAACGTCACCTATCTTTCCAGGGTCAAGCGCCGGAGCTGGCGACAAAACGCACAGGCTTTGGGCTCCGTCAACGCTCTCCTAGTGTGGACGACCCCCAGGCAGACAGGGTAGGCATCGTGCTGTTTGCTGTCGTGCAAAGAGAAACCGCATCCCTCAGGAGAGACCATGCACATGTCATCACACGTCATCTGCCCTGAAGGTGTGAATAAAGGTTTCTTCAGCCAGGACACGCGAGGGCGTGATATCCCATACTTATGTGTTGTACCGAGTGAATCGACTGAAAGGGAACCAGCTCACTGTGTTAGCAATAATACTATGTATTGTGTTTAATAATGTGCTTTACAGCAGTCTGGAAATCTGTGAAAAGATGTAGCTTTTGCTAGCTTTTGTCATAAAAATAGCACTGAAAACCCTTATAGAGAAAACTGGCTCGGTTACAAAGAGGCAGACAAATCTAATCTAAATCTTTAATCTAATCAGCTTGTAGATTGCCTTGTATCCCCAGTGAGGAATGCCTCTCCCAGACTGTGGCCACCTGGAAAACAGGGATTGCAAAAACAAAAATTTCTTGTGCACAAGTTGCTTATAAAGGCACAAACCACATTTGAGAATACAATTTGATGTCTGTTTGTTTGTCAACAACATTGTGCAACAATTACCCACCCTCATTTTAGGAAATCTGGTGAAGATGTGAATCATGGGCAAAGTAAAAACCCATCAATGCTGATTGCAGATCTGGATCACTTTCTTTGAACTGACAAAATGGGCCATTTAGCCCTGATGGTGGATGCACTCTCTGCACTTCTGTGTTTCATACACAGTTGATTGCTAGTACAACACTGTCTATGCTGCACTTTTATTTTTTCTTTGACAACCTCCATGTAATTTAACATGTCCACTAATAGTCTGTTATTTTGTCTGTTTGCAGATGGTTTCTATGTGACATGGGGAGCGTCTGAGGGGGCTGTGATCACTCCTGGCCAGTCTCTGCCTCCTCATGGCAAACAACTGGGACGCCTGGACTCTACTGATTTAAAACAAGTTATACAGAAGGTACGCAGTAAGAGACTGTTGTTAGACTTGTTGGATTAACTGTGGACAGAAAGATGTGTCTACACAGTGATACAGCAACTATAGGGATTTTCTCTTTATTCTTCTTAGCTAAAACACTGATATGGTCCTTATGTGCAAATGCGCTAATACAATAAATCATCAGTATATCAATAGCATTTTAGACAGGATAATCTGCACTAGTGTCATATTTTGCTAAAAAAGCTTAAACTTTTTACCTAATTTAAAGTAAAAAAAATGGTACTGCCACTTTGCTTTAGTAAATTTATAAACTTCTGTTTTTGTGCTTCTGTTTTCATCGTCATGTCTCACTCTGTGTTTGCATTTCTTTGTCTTTGTTTTCTTATTTTCACTTCATTGTGTTTACTGCTGTGTACCTCCTTCACCTGTGTGTCTGTTCGTCGTTTTCCTCTAGGGAGTCGTGCTGTACAGTCGAGATAACAGGGAGCTGGATCTTCTCCTGTTCTGGGAAGTGTGCGACTTTGTGTCCAGGGTAGATCGGGTCCTAAGCAGACCTGGTGGGTCTCTGCTTTTGGCAGGGCGCAGCGGAGTGGGTCGGCACACAGCCACGTGCCTAGTGTCACACATGCACGGATACACGTTGTTTACTCCAAAAATCTCCCGTGGTTACACCCTGAAACATTTCAACAGTGATCTCAAGACGGTAAGTGGATTTCCTTTATTAGATTTTATCTCTTTATCTGGTTCACATTATACTTTAATAAATTGCATTTGCAAAATGCTCTTAGAGATAATCACACGTTACACACTAATCTTGCAGGCTATACGGTTCCTATTCTGAAGAACTCCCTGTTGAGCATTTGTGTGTTTTTTTTTTCAGATTGAGTGACACCTATAATTACCATTAAAAGTGAATAGTTACTGATAAAAGAATTTTCTGTCGTTTTAGTTGATTTTTATGCATTAAATCAGTACCCATTATCATATGTTGACAGATGTCTCACTTTGCGGAGGTTTAAGCATAGACTATGTAATCTCAGCTGATGGCACTATATAATATATTTGTGTGGATACTGTGTGATTAGGTGATGCAGCTGGCAGGTCTGGAGGGCCAACAGGTGGTTTTACTATTAGAGGACTATCAGTTTGTCCACCCAGCTTTCTTAGAGATGGTGAACAGCCTGCTGTCATCAGGTATGTGTTGTGTTTATTTATGCTTTTGCCTTATTTTTTTATTTATAGAAACGTGAGTTATTGGGACTCAAGAAATTGTAGCTTCATTTAAGAGTTAATGTTTAAACTGCGATTGTCACACTGCAAATCTTAAACAGTATTTGCAATATATAGCTGGACTATGGTTTTAGATGGGTTTATGTTCTGATAGAAGAAATTATTTTGACCTTTGGGTTTAGTCAGACCAGAATTTTCTTCCTGCTCACAGACTTCATGCTAGGCTAACCATCCAACCATCCCCCACTCCAGCTTCACTCTGAGCAGACAGATCTGAGTGGTTATTGGGTGATATTGTTCATCTTGCGTACAAAGTCTTGTCAAATGACTTTCAGCTCTAATTCAAGGGGTTTACCAAAAGTATTTCATTTACTGTTCAGGAATCATTTTCAGAGTCTCAAAAGTAACTGGGCAAACTACCAAAACTTTAAATATGAGCATTGTTTTTAATGTTCAGTTTCATCTGAAAAAGTGTGCTTTGTTGGGTTGAGATCAGGTAATCATTGAACATGTTCAATGATTACCTGACACACATTTCTTTCTTCTTCTTGCAAGAAGAAGAAAGAAATGTGTGTCTCCTAAAATTATAAACTATATATGAGATGTGCATTTGAATATGGATCATACACTCAAGAATTTTCTCTGTTGTAGTTAAGTTGTAGTTCTAATGTATCCTGGGGACATTTTTCAGGTGAAGTCCCAGGTCTATATACCCCTGAGGAACTGGAGCCACTCCTCTCGTCACTGAAAGATGGTGCTTCCCAGGATGGATTCACCGGACCTCTCTACAACTATTTCTCTCACAGTCAGTATTGTGGTTTTATTGACAGCATGGTCCCTCTGTCTTTCTGTTGTTCATTGTTCCTTCATTAGGGCCTCTTCTCACTGTAAACCTCTATTATATGTGACATTTTGTTACAGAGATTGTTTTTTCTGTTTTTCTCCTTGATTATATCCGACTGTGTTCTTCTGCTTCATTGCTGCGCACTGTTGTTGGTACTGTATAAATGCTGCAATGTCACAGAGGTTGCTGCTTGTGAATCAAATCAATAACCATTATTGGCAAAGTAAAACCACTAAAGAGCTTACTCCTCACCTTTTCTCTCCAACTCTGCCAGATACAAGTTAATAAAGATGCTATTATGAATATGAATATTCTTTATTGTCATTGTCACAAGTACAATGAAATTGAAAGATATCTCCGGTCAGTGCAACATCACGAAAGATAAATACTTAAAAACTATAATATATATTGGTATTATTAGTGATAATACCAATGCCTGTCATTGTCCCACACCGTGTCCACCTTTCATCAAAGTTTCCCGATGAATTCCCTTCACCACTGTCTCACATCCCACTCAGGAATCCAGCAGAACCTCCACATTGTTCTGATCATGGACTCCTCCAACTCTAACTTCACCATCAACTGTGAGAGCAACCCAGCTTTTTACCGCAAGTGCTCTGTCCAGTGGATGGAAGGATGGTCTGAAAGCAGCATGAAAAAGGTTAATATCAGAACAGCAAGATCAAAATGGGCATTAAATCATCAGCTGTTAATAAAGCTCACGCTAAATGTTGCTTATGAGATTAGCAATGCACATTCCTTCCAACCTTTAAAGACAGACCTGTGTAATTCTGCTCTACTAATGTCTGTTGACCTAATACAGCAGCCCTAATAATGAATTGGTTTTCTCTCATTGTTGGAATTTTAAAATTGAAAACTTTTTTTTTTACTTTACAGGTTATTTTTAAAAATCAAGGTGTTGCGGTCATATTTGTGCACACATCAGTTCTTTTATAGTCACATTTGCAAATCTGGTAAACCTAAACGTGTTGCTTGTCAGATACCTGAGCTGTTGTTGGCAAAAACTGAGCAGGGAGGGGAGGAGACCGAAAGAGAAAAGGGCAGCAAGAGGAAAAGCTCAGGTAAGCACATGAACATTAAGTCACAGTTGAATGATTGATGATCTCTGGACTTAAAATGTTGTCAGATAGCTGATAAATGCCAATGCAGAATTGTATACACGCGAAGCTATCACCTTCACAATGTGAGTGACTTTGAAATAGGAGTGATGACAAAGTGCATTTGAGCCATTTTATAGTTGTTCATGCTGTTGGCATGATTAATCACATTGAAAAACATAAAAAATAGAACTGGTCAATGTTGTTTAAACAAATAAATAGAAAATAAATACGGGACTGATTATCTATTTATCTACAGTGTAATAGTACTCACAGACTGCGCAACACTTTGTTGAAGCACCTTTGGCAGCAATCAAGTCTTTTTGAGTATGATGCTATAAGCTGGCGCATCTATTTTTGGGCAGTTTTTCCCATTCTTTGTTGTAAAGCCTCTCAAGCTCCATCAGGTGGATAGGGAGGGTGTGTCGATGCACAGCCATTTTCAGATCTCTCCAGAGATGTTCAGTCGGGTTTCGGTGTCTGATTCCCTTCAGACATGAGACTCTGCATTCAGGCCAAAGAGTTCAATCTTTGTTTCGTCAGACCAGAGAGTTTTGTTTCTATGGTCTGAGAGTCTTTCAGGCAAACTCCAGGTGGGCTATCCTCTTACTGAGGAGGGGCTTCCATCTGAACAGTCTACCATAAAGGCTTTTATTGTTATTATTATTATTATTATTATTATTATTATTGTTATTATTATTATTATTATTATTTATTTGTTTGTTTATTTTATTTTACTCATATTTCCATTTAGTCACTACCATGTGATAAATTAAGATGAATTATCTTATTTTATTAATAGTAGTAGTATCATAAGCTTATAATACTTAGACATATTTAATGGCTCTATATTTTTAGTGTAATCAGAATGACTTTATATCAACTTTTTCTCTTTGTGCATCTTTTTTTTCACCTGTGACTCTCAGGAGGGTCTGGGCAGGGGGATCTGTGCCGATTGTTCTTGATGGTCCATGAGTCATGCCGCGAACACGGTGCAACACCGAGCAAGTACATGGCCTTTCTGCATGTTTACACCGCATTATACAGTCAGAAGCAAAAGCAGCTTACTACAAGACAGCAGCATCTGCAGGTAAAATTGCAAATCTACCCTGTGATACAGAATTATAAGTAGTATGAATTTTACTACTTCCGTAAGAACCAACTTATTTTCGGAACAACTGATGAGAATTGTTTATCCTAGACTTGAAAATCGATAGATCTACACATAAAATAGCTCTTGATTTGACTTTTAGTGACAATAAGAGTTTTAAAAGAGCCTTGCGGTGAAAACGACACACAGCAAATAAAAGACATGGATTAGAGAAGTTATTTGGTTTTTGGAACTGTATCCAGCCCTGATAGATGAGCTTGGGCCCAGCATTCATCCTGTGTAGTATTTTATTTAAAGTTTTACTGCAGTTTTACACACTGATATGAGAAAGTACAATTACAAAGCAACCGTAAATGTTGTTGGTAAACATTGCACACACAAATTCCATTGAATCTTTAAGAGGAAACAAGTTTGACATTACTTGTAAAGTAATACATGTTATGTCTACAGGCAGGCGTTTCTAAGCTGAATGAAGCTAAAACATTGGTTGATGAACTAAAGAGGCGGGCTGCAGAGCAGAGCGAACTGCTGAGGACTAAACAACAGGAGGCAGATTCTGCCCTGCAGGAAATCACAACCTCCATGCAGGTGTGTATGTCTGTGCTGCTGGTGCATTGTCCGCTAGTGACTGTGTATTGGGATGGGTGGATGGGTGCATGTGGGTATACGTGTGTGGCTCAGGCCAGTAGTCCTGCAGGGTTTCATGTCTTTTCTAACTTATATCTATTCTATGTCTATCTATCCAACTTCTCTCCTCTCTTCTCTTCTCTGGCTTTCTTTTTCATCTGCATTGCATTATACAAAAAACTTTCTGCCTTTCCCATGGCAATATCCTCCCTGCTGTGAAGACTCTATTTATTTAGTTTGTGTACGTATGTGTATTTGTTTGTTTTGTGACTTTCCTTTCATTCTCATCTCCTGATACCCCCATTTCCATTTCCTCCTGCTGGGTCTGTCTCGAGGATGGATGGTTGGATAGATGTGTGGAGGGGGAAAAGGAGATGAACCTTGTTCATTAGTTATGATATCCTTCTATCTTTCACTCTGTGGGGATTGGGTTTGTTGAGTTAGAGGGAGGGAGGAAGAAAGGAGATGAGAAACAAAAATAAGAAAGAAAAAGAAATAACTGTCAGAGGAGTCAGTTTTGCAGAGTGATAATTAAGAACTAGACTCATCCCTTTGGTCTGTAGTAGCTATGTCGCCTGTGGGGATGGAGACAGCAGGGAGAGAAGCGAGGAACACTGGAACAACGATGGGAAGAGTGTAAACAAAATAGATGGAAGACTGACTGAGGCTTGGCAAAGATGGAAATATTAAGAGAGCCGTTAAGGAAGAATGAAAATAAGGTTTGGAGCAGAAAAGGGGAATATATGTGGCATATAGCAAGACCTGGAGCCTTGACTATGGAAGAATTATAGGGATGGAAAAAAAAGCCAATGTTGGGATTAGCTTTAGATGAAAATGTGATGTGATAAAACTTTCAGGTTTGAAGAGGTCAGAGAGAGGACCTGTTGGAAAATGATGCGGCCAAACATTTGTCCTCACTGCTTTTTCATCATCAGTGTCACAATATTCCTAAAAAAATCCTATAAATGTAAAATAAAATACAGATGATTATATAGAAATCATATATTCAGCTGCTTACTTTCAATCCTGATTAAGCCTTTTTCCCCTAACTTCAGTACATGCTAAAAGCCTGTTTTTTAATCTAGTGTACTGAACATTTTCCTTATTTTTTGGATTTTCCAGAATGCCAGTGACCAGAAGGCAGAGATGGAAAAATTGAAAGGGAAAATGGCTCAAGAAGTGTCCAAAATTGAAGAGAGAAAAGCCAAAATCGACGACGAGCTGAAAGAAGTACAGGTAAGTGGTTTGTTGCCTGTTTTTGTGAGCATGCCCATTTCTGTAAGTTACGAGAAAACATCCCCCCTTTTCAAGGCTTGCAATCCCCATTGTGCTTATCCTTCACGTACTTGTGCATCTCTCGCTGCCTTTTCCCCTGCTGCCCTCTAGCCTTTGGTAGATGAAGCAAAGCGTGCAGTTGGAAACATCAAGCCTGAAGCGCTGTCTGAGATCCGCTCCCTCCGCATGCCTCCCGATGTCATCAGAGACATCCTGGAGGGGGTACTGAGGCTGATGGGCATCTTTGACACCTCCTGGGTCAGCATGAAGAGGTGAGAGAAAAGAGATAGGAAAAACGTGTAAAGGGATGGATAGGAAGATGAAGAGTTACCCTGTCAGGAGTAATTAAATTGATGAGGATCTTCGACACCTCTCGGGTTAGCAAAAAGAGGCATTAGGAGGTGATGAGGTGTTAGAGAATGGGTGGGAAACGAGGAAGAAAAGGGAAGGATAAACAAAGCCTTTCTGCACTGCTAATGAGCGAGTGTAGGTTGTGTGCGTATATTTGGGCGGGGTGGTGCTGGGGGTGGGGGGGCAACTGTTCATGCTTAATTAAGGAAAAAAAGGCTCATATTTTAGGCTTGAATTAACATTAAACTATCTGCTTTATGGGTTAATTTGATCTCTTTCTGATGATTTCATCTGTGTTTGGCTTTAATGTTGAACTCACACATGAAAACTCCTCTCTTCTCTAGCTTTCTAGCTAAACGTGGTGTGAGGGAGGACATAGCTACATTTGAAGCCAGGAATATCACTCCTGAGATTCGCCAGAGTGTGGAAGAGCTACTCAACAGGAACAGGGCTTCTTTCGACCCTAAGGTCTGCCTACCATAGTAGCAGAATCAGAATTAGATGTACTGTTGGAGGTTGTTATTACAGCTTGATTGTTTTTTTGTTGTTGTTGTTGGTTTGTTAATGTGTTTGTCTTCTAAAGAAGTTATTATGGCTGTTTCACTGATTTGTAATGCTACTGTTGTTTCATTCAGAATGCAAAGCGTGCAAGTGCAGCAGCTGCTCCTCTGGCTGCCTGGGTCAAAGCCAATGTCCAATACTCCCGCGTCCTAGAGAGGATAGAACCACTGGAAAGAGAACAGGCTGGACTTTTGGAGTAGGAAAATACACAAACACAACTCTATAAAAGACCGAAAATGCTTTCAACCTGTAAAACGCTGTATGTTTAAACAAAAAACAAGAAAGTTGAAGTTCTTGATTAAAAAAAATTAAAAAGTTGCTAAGTTTTGTGAAGTAATTTTGATCTAGATTGTATTATTTTAAACAAACTTGTGATCACTGACTTCATCTAATTCTACTCAACTCTAACTCACGCTCAGTTTCTCGATGCTACACATGCAATAAATGATACATAAAGTAAGTCAATAAATCAATGCGTGTGTTGTATGTGTCCAGAAACCTGAGGAAGACTGAGAGTAGGAAGAATAAACTAGAAGACCAGCTCAGCACTGTTGGAGCCAAAGTCAATGAGTTGAAAGAGAAGTATGCATCCTTCCTTCACCAATTAATCCTTCTATACTGTGTAGTTTGGGTTTTGCTTGTGGTTTTTGCGTGCTGTTGTCTTAAATTGAGATTAGGGTTGTAGTTTATTTTAATCTTGAACTGTTGATTTGTTGATGCGATGATGAGCCACCTAAAAATTAACAACAACAGCAACAAACATGGGCAGACATTTACCAGCATCAGTGTTTACGACATCAGAGCACAACAAAGGGTCGAACTTCACACTTTACATTAGTGTCACTGAGCTCCCTGCGCTCTGTCCTCTTTAGTCTTCAGTTTTCCTCCTCATCCATGTTCAATCATACAATACAATCATCTTATAACTGAAAGATGTCCTACTTTCACTAAACTCATTTCCTATATGACTCTACCTGCTGTAAATGTCATAGAGGAAGCCTCACCTGTTATATTTACAATGCATCTTATTGTCTTGGGTAAATATTACAATACATCTGCTTTCGGTTGGCTTTTCTTTCTCCTTACTTTCTCTGCAGGTTTCAGTGTCACACTGCAGAGGCAGCTAAGTTGGAGGCCGATGTGTCAAAAGCTCAGGACACGATCACTGCTGCCCAGCAGCTTATATCACAACTGGACGGAGAACACACACGCTGGAATGCACAGGTAGTTTGATGTATGGCTGTGATGATATATGTATTGGTGGGGGAGGTTATACACATTTACTCAAAAAGAGGCTCATTTGCCATGTAAGAGCAACAGGAGCCGTGAGTGTCTAAGAGCTCGTGGGTGTGTGTGTGTGTATGACAGGGGGGATGGATCCCGCTGTCTTGGGTCCCTTCTGGCTGTTTTTACTCCTCTCCACAGCATCTGTCTGCACCTTAATTAAAACACTCAATCTCTTCCTGACATTCTCGCTCGTACACACACCCTCAGTCCCACCGTCTCCCTCAAGGACTACACCAGAGAGCCAGTTTGCTCTCCACTCACGTATTACCATATACTCTCACGTGTACACACATACACTCACTTCAACGCTGTACAGTAGCTGTAGGTCACTATACATCAATACTTCTAAGCTGTTTTAGTGTTTCTCAGGAAGGGAAAACCAATGAGTCAGGTGTACACAGCTACAGTGTAAGTGAAACAGATGCAAGTTTTTAAGTAGGACGTATTAATGCAGTAGACTAGAGATCTCAAGGTCATGAAAACTTGCAACCTCAGATGTGGATATAAGTGGGGAAAAGGGTTAGCAATTAAGCCTGATGTTTAAGTATTTTACAGAGATGTGCGGGTGCGCCCGTGTTCCCCTGACATGCTATTAAAATACCTCAAAGGAATCCTGATGAACCTGGAAGTCTTTACAGCTGTGTCAGTAAAATCGGTGCAGAACAGCAAGTGTGTTCCAGGTCCTGCACTTGTGGGTTAGCATTTTTTCGTCTAGTTAAACATTTTATGTGGTCATTTGGTATTTATAACTGTGTTTAGTATTAAAGAGTCATTAGGAAGAAAACCAAACAAAAACCAAACATGTTTTGCACTGGGCCATATTAGCAACATATGAGCAATGTACCAACTTCAGTTCTCTCCTTGCTCCACCTTCTTTTCTCACATCCACGCCTTTTCTCCCGATACTGCCCGTCACTCTAATGTGATTAGTTTTTATACTTTGTTCACCTACCTGTATTTTGTCCTAGATGTCCGAGATAAAGAATGAGTTGGATACGCTCCCTGTTAGAGCCTTGCTTGCGGCAGCCTTCATCACCTACCTGTCTGCAGCTTCGGAAGACCGTAGACGACAGTGTCTGGACTCGTGGATGGCTCACTCTGGACTACAGAGTAAATATATCACTAGTTCTTTTACCACACTAGCAACAGCATATGGCAAGTCCTGTCCCAAGCAGCCTACTCAGACACCGCTGCCCACACACAACATAACGGACTCTACTGTTACAACATGGAACATACAGACGTTACAGCTTCAGGGTCTTCTCGAAGAGCTTGTTTGCCATTTAACTAAATAAATGGTAATTTTAATTTTAATTTATAATGATGTTATGTTTTAATCCCAGGCTCAGAAAGCATCACAGTACTTGATAATCCTGTTTTGTGACTTTGTGTTTTTTAATGATATGATACTACATCAATAATCAATACCCCATTAACTGATCTCCTCTTACGTTAATATAAATGCATTGAAATTGTACATGAAAAGCACTAATTATTATCTCAGTGATATTTAAACTGAGGTATGGTGACAATAAATACAAATAAAGACACAAGCCTTTTTGTTGCTTGTTTCAGAGTTTGACTTGCGATCATTCCTGTGCTCGGAGAGTGAACAGTTGATCTGGAAGAGTCAAGGGCTGCCATCAGATGATCTCTCAATGGAGAACGCACTGGTTATACTGCAGGTTAGACTAATATTTCAAATCTGCATCTACAACATGACACAGGGATTTACTAAATATAAACACTAATTTCAGTCTCTTTTTGCCTACTTTATATAAGGATGTTATTAATACTATTTATGCATTGGCTTGCTTATTTCACATCACTGTATAAAATATTTAAAAAGACATTAAAGTACAATACAAACCCAGCATTAACATGATAAAACAAGTCTAGCTGTACCGAAAGTTGTGTCCTTGTTGCCATACGTCTGTGCTCCATTTGGTTGTATCGTGTTTGTGTGTTGTTTTTATCATCGCCACCACCAGATCAATGCACTCAAGTTGAAGGTAAGAAGTCCATCATTCATCCTCGTAGCTGTTTCCTACATAGCTAGTTTATTTATTTAGTGTTTCTTTGTCTCTCTGTTTCTCTTTTGCTTTTGTGTTTGCCTTGAAACTAGTGAGAAAGAGATGTGCTGTCACTTTATTAGGTACACCTAGAGAGTACCAGGTTGGACACCTTTTGCCTTCAGAACTGTCTTAATTCTTCGTGGCATAGATCTCGCACATCCCAGACGTGCACTATTGGACTGGGATGGTGACTGTGGAGTCCATTTCAGTCATGTGAACTCCTTGTTATGTTCAAGAAACATAACAATGAGACAGTTTGAGATTATTTGATCTTTCTGACATGGCACATTGAGTTCATGCCATGTGGTTAGAAATTTGCATTAAGGAGCAGATGGACAGGTGTACCCAATAAAGTGTCTAGGGAGTATGTGTACGCATACACTCTCGCAAAAATGACATAGATCATATAAAATTTTGGGGGTTCTTAGAGACATCAAATGGTCCGCTCTCTCGCTGAATGTGCCGTAACAACTTGTGGGCAAATTGTCAGTGGTTCCATGTACAAGACTTATAGATGATTTGCCTCAGAACTGATTTGTCAGGCTCATGAGCATTCACAACCATTTTTTTCTAAAGGCATTAGAGATCTTTTTATATTGCTACACACTTCAGCTGGTACAAGAACAGTGGACCCTATCCTGATAGAGGTTTCAAAAACACTGGTTTCAGCTTTTACTGTATAAACAAACTGTAATCATTGGTGTGTATGTGAGAGAGAGTAAGAAAGACGGCGAGAGAAAGACTCCTGTGCCTGATATAGGAAGGTGGTAAGTATGATAGCACTGTGACGGGGCTAAACCATATGCATACACACATGCAGTGCACATCATTTTCTAGGTGAGTTGTGTGCTTTATAAGTAAAACTATCCTAAAACAACTTCAGCTGAAATGTCCTGCTTTCTCCTCATTTCTGACTCAGAGTGTTGCGTGTCCATTCCTGATCGACCCATCATCCCGAGCTACAGAGTGGCTATGTACACATCTCAAACAGCACAGATTAGAGGTTATCAACCAGCAGGTAACAACACACAATCAGTAACATGTGTCGTGGAATGGAGGGTCATTAATCTGTTAGATTTTGCAAAATCCTGTGCACACACTGGTGATGTGCTTTGTTTAATTCAGTTAACCCTCATTCTAACCCGTTCTTTCTTCTTTTTCTAAGTTTTCCATTAGACATTCATGACTGATCAGTTTCTTCTTGTCTAATGAATCCAAGTTTCTCTTCTTTACTAGAATATCTTAATCATTTAGAAGCAAGCCTTAACCATACTTTGATCGGTCCAGGTAATGATTTTAGCAAAAAGTTATGATGATTACATTAAGTAACACTGGTGTCCATTACTTATCACTTAACTGTTACATATTAATTACTGCATTAGTGTCATCAGGTACACTGAAAACACTCATTTAATTATTTATTTTTTGTATATGTATTTAAATTGTTTGGTTTTTGCTTAATAACTTGTTAAAACTCTCTAGACACTCTAGATGTAAATGCTTTGTTTAGAAAGAAAATATAAGATTTATTCATCTTCCAACTGTAAATTTTTTCTTTTTCTTCTTTTTTAATCGTAATCGTACTACAACTATAATTACTCTTCCATCCACCAGATACACGAGAGAACTGTGTTACCATCCACCTCTAGAATTTAATGTAATCTCTTAGTACTGGGTGTCTGTGTGGCTTCTCTCTATAGGATAATAACTTCATGACATCCCTAGAGCTGGCAGTCAGATTTGGAAAAACCCTTATCATCCAAGAGATGGATGGAGTTGAACCTGTGCTCTATCCGCTGCTGAGGAGAGACCTAATAGCACAGGGTACTCACACATTCTCACAAGCACAAACACCAATTTCATACAAAGTTGGGCTGAAGAACTCTTTTGGGCATAATTCAGAGGCTTAAGCAACCTCAGGTTGCTGACTACTCACCTCTATCCAGGGGCTACTTTTCTGCAGCGTAGTGAAATCCCATTCTGAGGGATATTGCCTCAAAGTTTAATTAACCAATCCTGACTAGTGCATTGGGCCATCACAGTACTTCTTCTCACTCTCAAAAGCCTTACTCTGTAAAATATTAAGTAAATCAAATGGTTAAACATTGACTATTCATGTTTTATTTTATATTCAGACAAGACCTTTCCTCAATACAGTCACAGTAAAGGGAAAGTTAAAAGAACTCAGACAAAATGCAGAAGCACCCCTCATTTCTCTATAATTTACTTCAAAGTTGCCAGACTTCTAATATGTTTTAATTGGTCTTCAGTGTTTTAGTTTTGGACATGTTTTTTTTCCACTCATTTTCAGGCCTTCTATCTTACCATTGTTTTTTGTTTGTTCGGTTGCTTAACACTGTCCTGTGAATTGTTTACAGATGACTTGATAAAGAACCAATTAGACGCCTGATGCAAAAACACATCATTTGTTTACATTTCTATATAAAATGTCTATGTCTGCCTTTATGAAATTAATCTATGAAAAATGGAAAAGATAAAATAGTTTTACAGGCATAAAAAATAATATTTTTCTGCTAAAAAAGGTGATTATTGAAGAGCTATTTGCTGAAAACATGGCATATATCAATATGGTGTAGACTTTGTCCTTAAACAATTTGAGGAAACTACAAAGCTGGTCACAAAAGATGAAGTGGCAGGCTTTAAAAAAACAGCCTACAGCAGATGAGCAGTATCATAAAGTCATGTCATCAAGAAATAGAAAAAAGTATCCGGCAAAGACCTGACACAGGACCTCAGAGATGCATCTGGCCCTTCAGTCAATTCATCTACTGTTCACTGAAGCATCAGCAGAAATGGTCCCATTGGAACGGTGGCAATTAAGAAGCCATTCTCAAGGAAGGCAAAAGGCAACCCGTTCTCACTCCCAAAGCGTAACATTTTACGCTAGGTGACAAATCGTCACCATATTACGTTTTCGGCTACCCACCACGTTCCTAAATGACGACCTCGGAAAAAGAGGAAATATGAGAACCGTCTGGACTGAACCTACACATGTTCGCTCTTTTTCTTCAAATCGCTTAGAAACACGCTATTTAACATCATTAAAGTCCTGGTTAAGGTCAGGAATAAGGTTATGGTCAGGGCTAGGGATAAGGTTAGGTTTAGGGCTGGAATACAGGGCTGGAACGTCTACTACCGCGGGAGCGTCATTGCACTGGATTCCAGCCATAACCCGCCGCGTACCCTAAGAACGCCGAAGGTCTCCTTTCGCGTTCCTCAGGAACGCCGCGGGACGAGACAAAACGTCGACATGTTACGCCTCGGGAGTGAGAACGCTCTGCAAAAGGGGAGAAAAGGCTGAGCTATGCTGAATTACTCAAGAGCTGGACAGAAATCAGTGGTAACAGCTCTATAAAACACGGTGGAGGCCCTGTCATGGTTTGGGGCTGAATTTCAGCCAGTGGTGTTGTGGATCTTATCAAAGCGGATGGATTTACAAACATAGAAAAGTACCGTCAGATCTTGATCCACCTGGATACAAAAACACAGAGTGGATCACTACCAGTCATGGACTAGCTTCACCAGGGCCCAAACCTCAACATTGTTGAAGCAGTGTGGGATCATGTTGAAAACTTAAAGAAATCACAAGAATAACCCTTCCCACATTATTGCACAGCAGCTGTTGCTTCTCTAAGACCATTGCTGATGATTTACTCCTGGCATTGTGTTAACACACCTGAATCCACCAGACCTGCAAAGTGCCAGAGCTTCAGCTTTTATAGAGATGCTCACACTTGCTGATGATCAGCTAATCAAGTGAATTTGATTAAAGTGGTTGGTACTCACGCTCTCAATTCCTGTGGAAGCAGTTGTAGTTTGTTTAAATTTGTATGTTGCCAGCTGTAAAACCTGCTAAGGATCAGATTGTTTTTACTATGTCCCGATACATAAAACCTTAGAATTTAAAGAGTGTGTACTTTATTTTTTACCAAACTGTAGATAATGATTGAAAGCCAATAGATTCAAATTAGTGTCTCAAGCCTTACATTTTGATAGTGAGTCTTGATGTCAGTGATATTAATAACTTATTAATAACTTGCTCCTGACTTACTTTTTTTTTTTTAAACAAACGCCTGTGAAACTTTGTACCATGTCCATTATTTTGAGTGTTAGTTATATTTGAAAGAATTAATGAGCATACTGTGGGCGAGCATTACAAATGAAAAAGAAAAGTGTGAACGAAGGAGACGGTGGATAAATAACAATAAGTGAAAAAAGAAAACAGGTTTGCTGCATTATCACACTGTGGTACATAAGAAGTAATTGCTTTCCGTGTGTCACTTCTCATTATTTGCACAATCACAGAAATGGACCTTTCAGGTAAAGTGTGGTAGTTTCTCAGTAGGAGCTCACTTATTGATTTTCCTTGAATTACCTAGTCTTTGTTCCTTGCCTTTTTGGAAAGGCAAGAGAAACAGCAAAGAGAAAGAGCACATTAGACTTTTCAGTTTTGAGGGTTTTTTCTGTATGCATGAGAATAAGATGCTGTAGAACCCTGGTGTTGTCTCATTTAGTGTCCATAGGTTTATGCAAATCTCACACATGAGAAACATGTATGCACTAGACATAAATATCTCTTATTTTACACAAGGACTAGCCTGTATGTACATAATATGATATTAAAATCCATCCATCCACCCATTTTCTTCCGTTTAAGCCTAATGAATTCTATGTAGTAAAAATATCACCAATTAATAGTCTCAAAATCTCAAAATGGTAGTTATTTTATCCACTTAATTTTCTCAAGTACTTTGCAGCTGTTGGATATTAAAATTGTCCATAGAAAAAAACATGCAGTGCAGTCCTTTGGTCATTCCATTTTATGGATGAATACTCTTTGAAATTGTCTTACAAAATTGGACAAAAAAAAAGCCCCCAAATACAGCGTGTATTCATAGACGACTGGTTTTTGAAGCGTCTTCTATAGCCAGTAATACTTCAGTTTCTCCTTTTAGTTAATTGCATTCCAATCACATATATAAAAAACAGAGGTTGAAAACATACCTGTAAAAATGATGTGTGATTCATAAGGCTCTGAATCATCCAGGGAGAGGCGGTTCGCTATTTGAAGCAGAATTGGAAAGAGCGGGGGCAGAGACAGTATGCGAAAGGGCAAGTTATCCACTTAAAAGTAGTGTTGAACAAGAAAGAAAAAAGTGCTGAGACAAAAAAATTGACAGTTCTGCACTGCGGACATTTAGACGACAGAAGGGGAAGAAAGTAGAGGGAGAAAAGTAAAAAGACGGAAGGTAGGATAAAGTTAAAAGTTGATGTGAAACAAGGTACCTTGTTAAGAGACACATTTCCACATGTGCAGGTCCTAGATATGTGGTCCAGATAGGAGACAAGGTTATTGATTACAATGAGGACTTCCGTCTCTTCCTGGCAACACGGAATCCCAGTCCCTTCATCCCTCCTGATGCCGTCTCAGTGGTTACTGAGGTCAACTTCACAACAACTAGGGCAGGCTTGCGGGGACAGGTAACCCATTCAACCAGCACACAAATACAAATGCATATAAAATGTACAATGCCAGTAATTTAAAATGTACCTATTGAGCATAATCATGTCCATTAATAACTTTAAAGTTTATAACACAAATACATGGGATATATACTTGATGTGGCCACACAGTGTGCCCACTGGCTCTTTATTTGTGTGTCTGTATGTTAGTTGCTAGCCTTGACCATCCAGCAAGAAAAGCCAGAGCTGGAGACTGAGAAAACAAGGCTACTACAACAAGAGGAAGACAAGAAGATACAGCTGGCTCAGCTGGAAGAATCATTATTGGAGGTACTCATGCTAACATATACTGTGAGGGAAATATAGACAAGGATTCTACAGGGTGGGCCATTTATATGGATACACCGTAATAACATGGGAATGGTTGGTGATATTAAAGTCCTGTTTGTGGCACATTAGTATATGTGAGGGGGCAAACTCCTCAAGATGGGTGGTGACCATGGTGGCCATTTAGAAGTCGGCCATCTTGGATACAACTTTTGTTTTTTCAATAGGAAGAGGGCCATGTGACATCAAACTTATTGGTAATGTTGTGGTGGACCACTAGAGGGCTCCACTCACACCCAGTGTTGAGGAAGTGTGCTGCTGTGTTTTGTGGCACGATGTGTTCAGTTGATGTTGGAGAGGAATAAAGAAGGAGTGAGAACTGAGAGCTCTGTGTTGTCCATACTTACCTCCACATTGGTGACCCCTGACTCGAGCATGCTACGGGCCGAAGATAACACAGACTCCGCTTTGGATGCATCGGCGGCCGCTGGTCCTCCACCTCCGGTTGCAGCTGTGGTGCTGAAACTGCCGGACTTTTGGCTCCACGATCCCCCGTCATGGCTTGTGCACGTGGAGGCTCAGTCACCTTCCACGCCACCACCTGCCTCCCCCGGAGCATCCGCCCCTTTGCTGACGGCAGGGATTGCTACACGCCGGCACCGCGGAAAGAGCATCTGTTTCTACCATCAGCGTTTTGGCGACAGAGCGCGTCGCTGCCTGCCGCCTTGCGCTTTCACGGCCCAGGGAAACGGACCCGCCAGCGCGCCGTAGCAGCCGCGACCGCTGGCAATACAGAAAGGCTGCTCTTCATAGAGGACTCGCGCTCCGGGAGACGTTTTCTCGTGGACTCTGGCTCCCAGAAAAGCCTCCTTCCCCCTACCGCTGCTGACAGACTAGCAGCGAACTGTGGGCCGCAGCTCATTGCAGCTAATGGCTCTCCTATCACAACGTTTGGGGAAAAGTTGGTGACTGTTTGTTTTCATGGTCGGGATTTCCAGTGGAACTTTGTTGTTGCCACTAGCTCTGTACCTATTTTAGGTGCTGATTTTCTGTGTGCTCATGGACTGCTTGTCGATGTTGCTAACAGACGTTTAATTGATGCTCTCTCGTTTTCTTCGCTACCCTGTTTTACTCGGGCCGCCGAGCCCACTGATTCGGGCTAATGTAGTGACCTCCGGGGATGCTTTTCAGCGTTTGCTTTTAGAGTTTCCATAGCTGTCTGTCCCTAATTTCTCTAGCACAGTAACGAAGCACGGGGTGGAGCATTATATTCCCACGGTCCCACGGTGTTCGCATGTGCGCGCCGCCTCGACCCTGCGACACTGTCCGTCACTCGGGAAGAGTTTGTAGCCATGGAGCGCCTTGGCATTGTACAGCGTTCAAACAGTGCATTGGCCTCTCCGCTTCACATGGTGCCCAAATCGGACGGTCGGTGGCGGCCATGCGGAGATTTCCGCCGTTTAAATAATGCCACGGAGAATGACCGTTACCCCATCCCCCACATACAGGATTTTTCGGCCAATCTCGCTGGAACCTCGATTTTTTTCTAAAATTGACTGGGTGCGGGGGTATCACCAGGTTCCCGTGCGCGCCGAAGACGTTCCTAAAACCGCTGTCATTACCCCCTTCGGCTTGTTCAAGTTTTTGCGCATGCCGTTTGGCCTGAAAGGTGCCGCCCACTTTCAGCGGCTGATGGACTCCATTTTGCGCGGGCTGCCGTTCGTTTTTATTTACCTGGATGATATATTGGTGGCCAGCTGCTCAGCGAGCCAGCACGAGTCCCATCTGCGCCAGGTTTTCCAGCGTTTGGCAGCGCACGGCCTGACCATCAACCCTTCCAAGTGCCAGTTTGGGTTGCCTGTTCTGGATTTCCTCGGACACCGCATTTCCACTGAAGGTGTGGTTCCATTGCCCGACAGAGTCCGGGCTGTTTCGGCTTTTCCGCGTCCCACGTCGGTTAAAGCGTTGCAGGAGTTCTTGGAGATGATAAATTTTTACAACTGCTTTCTCCCCAGAGCTGCCCACCTGCTCTATGCTGCCTTAAAAGGTAAAACAGACAAAGATCCCGTTGACTGGCTGCCGAACGCGTCCAGGCGTTTTCCGCAGCCAAGTCTGCACTGGCTGACGCCGCCTTTCTGGCCCACGCCGCCCTGCTGGCCCACCCATTTCCGTCGGCGGAGATCGCGTTGACCACCGACGCGTCTGACGTGGCAGTGGGTGCCGTGTTGGAACAGCGGGTTTCAGGTCTCTGGCAACCGCTCGCCTTTTTCAGTCGTACGCTCCGGGATGCCGAACACAAGTACAGTGTTTTCGACAGGAAGTTGCTGGCCCTGCACCTCGCGACACGACATTTT